TTTCTGGAAAGAACCAAACACCGTGCAGAATACCGCGGACGTGATGGTTGCTCCCCACAAAATCCCGGACTTCCAGGACATAATGGAGAAGTTCAACATCCCGTATGACACTTACGTCAGCGACGTTCAAGCATTAATCGACAATGAATTACCACCGGCCCAACCTTTAGTATCGTTCGACTTAACCCGCTATCACACTCTCGACGAGATCTACGCTTTCTTGGATTCACTTGCCAAGGAAAATCCCGGCAAGGTGCAAGTGATCGTCGGTGGGAAAACATACGAGGGTCGTCAGATCAAAGGAGTGAAATTGACCTTAGGCAACAGCAAAAGTGGGATCGTCTTGGAGGGTGGAATCCATGCTAGAGAATGGATCTCTCCGGCTTCCATTCTTTACATAGTGAACGAGCTGCTGCACAACAAGGGCGCTGATGTCAGACAACTCGCTGAATCTCACGAGTGGTACATCTTCCCTGTCGTCAACCCTGACGGATATGTGTACACTCACACCAAGGTAAGCAACTTCAGAAAATTGCAAAAATCATTAATTTTAAATACTTCAACGTATCATTCGATGAATTTCTTTACTCTGAACATCAGGATTAAGAAATTTTCTCTATAGAAAATTTCTATCTTAAGATAGATAAACTTGAAATCTTTGAATTAAATTTTTCATAGTGAAACAAGTCCTAGTAAATATATTAACAGAATCCAAAGTACGAAAAGGAATTTAATGTAATTGAAATTTTGTATATTCAAACACTCAATGCAAGAGTTTCAGATTTGAGAAAAAGTAATAATTGATAATAATAGTTATATTATAATATATTATTAATAATTATATTATATAAATATTATAATATATTAATGTAATAAATTTGCAATTTAATGATTAATTCAGTGAACGATGTTTGTGCTTCAGAACCGTTTGTGGAGAAAGACTCGCAAGCCATACGGTCTGTGCTTTGGTAGTGACCCTAACAGGAACTGGGGATACAAATGGATGTGTAAGTTTTTAATCTGTCATAAGATTTCATTTAACAAAGATTACATTCTCTAAATATATAAAAATTATATATGAAAAATATTCTCTTTTAATTCTGTAGCTGGTGGTGCTAGCAACAACCCATGCTCTGAAACTTACGCCGGAAGCTCCGAGTTCTCTGATGTTGAAACGAAAAGTCTATCCGAATACCTCACAGCGATTTCCAGCAAGTTCACTTCCTACGTTTCTTTCCACAGCTACTCTCAACTTCTGATGTTCCCCTACGGTCACACTACACAGCATTTGGAAAACTACAACGACGAAGTAAGTGGAAATTGAAATCTATCCTATAAAAATCTCGTTAAAAGATTTATTATTCTATGGAGATGTCTCCTACAAAGTTCTGATACATCTATATATTTATTGCACATTTATCGAAATATTCCTTCAATCTCACAAATACATCGTGGACGATTTTATCAAGATTCTTGATTTTATTATTATCAACTTATATCGTATCTTAAACGGCAATCAATTTCATGTTTATTGATAACAATGATGGATGATATTTTTATCACTGATACGTGTGAAGATTAATTTATTTACCGTTGATGAAGTTTACAAATACAGAAGAATAATTGACACGCATTTTCAGCTTCAAATAGCTAACAAGGCAATCCAGGCTCTTGCGAAGCGTTATGGAACCAAATACACGGCCGGAAACGTCGCCGAAACCATTTGTAAGTATATGTTTTACGTACGTATAAACGATGTGTCACTCTTTTTTCCAACATTAATTAATGTTATTTGTAATTGACGATCAAGTTGATTACAAGTAGAATAACAAGTCCGATAAGCTTTTTTAATTGCGATAATAAATTAATATGACAATCTACGTCCTCATTCATTTATTTTTATATTTCACATTCTATTTCCAGACATCGCAAGCGGAAGTTCAGTGGATTGGGTGAAAGGAACTTTCCACAAACCTGTCACCTACACGTACGAATTACGTGACACCGGTCGTCACGGTTTCTTGCTTCCAGCTGATCAAATCGCTCCTACCGCGCTGGAAACCTTGGACTCTTTGGTTGCCATGTTTAAGGAAGCTAAAGCTCGAGGATACGAATAAACGCAATTGTATAAATAAAAACAGATTAAAATCAATTTAATGTATAATTTAATTTAATAATGTATAATTATACATTAATGTAAATTAACGTAATAAATAAGTTTTACATCTGTTATTTCCACTTCGTTTCTCTTGATTCTAACGTTAATCCTATGATTTGAAATCTGCATATAATTGCCTTTTTTGTCAAGTTCATTAAAGTACGTGTCAACTTAATAAATTACGAGCTTTTTCGCAATTGCTTTCAATTCTTTCCTCGAGATCTTCCCAGAAGAAGTGTGTGGAAGACTTGGTAAAAATTTCACACCGCCACGCAGTTTGTACTGATCTATCATGTTACTAGCCACCATCTTTATCAGTTCTTCCGCGGACACCTGTAAATTACACGTCGCAGTTAAATCGTGCGCAAAGTAATTATTACAGGAAAATTTATATTATTTTTATATACTGAATTACATTGAATTTAATTTGCATTTTATACCATCATTTTGAATTGAGATCTTACAGCTCTTTAGCATATTCACAAATTATCAATAGCATTAATTAATAAGCAGTAAGTAAGTAATGTATGAACCCAGCAACGTTCTTTCGCTCATTTTCGAACTATTTTTCT